CCGCCTGTCTGAATGAAATCCGTTCAGTATAGTATTATAGATGAATTTATGGCTGGGTGAGTTTAATGTCAAGTTAGGTTTTGCGTTCCAGTACGCAGGCCAGTTTGCAGGCGACTGAGGCGAGTTCGTTGAAGTGTCGAATCGGTTAGGTATTCATTAGGTAGATCCTTGTGGTGATGTTTAGCTCGTGACAATATGAACGCAGTTTGATAAAACTTGGTACGTGAATACATTTAAAAAACATAACGGTGATGTTTAGCTCGTGGAATTTTTTTCAATATGACCTTCATTTGAGAGTTATACGGCGAAATAGGCCGAAATTTACAGTGACCAAGACATTTCTTCTACGTAAACTACCCACTCAACCGCGGTTTGAACGAAACTTTGAATATGCATTTCTAACCAGCAACCACCCAACGCCCGCCAACGGTGATGCATACTGTAGTCCAGTGCATACTGTATCCCAGCGATGATTTTTTCACTCAGATCTGTTTTTTTAACCTCTCCTTGGTTTACGTGTCGGACAAATTACCGGCTGGACTTGCAGCCTCACGGCCAATTTTCTAATTCAATGATCAAGAAATATCGCTCAAACTAATGAACTTGACTTGACGAAACTTGGTACACGTATTCATTAGGACCAAACGGTAGTGTTTAGCTCGTGAATTTTTTTAATTTTACCTTCCTTTGTTTTCGCCATAGTTATATGGCAATACGGGCCAAAATTCACAGTGATCAAGGGATTTGTTCCAAAATACTAAACGGATCCGAACGAAATTTTGAATTTACAGTCCAAACTACCGAATGGTAATGTTTGACTAGCTCGAAAATTTTTTTTCTATTGTGCCTTCGTTTGCGATTTTTTTTAAATTTCACTTTCATTCATGATTTAAACATCAATACGCGCTTAAATTCGCAGTAACCAAAAAATTTCTTCCAAACTATGAACAGATTTGAACGAAACTTAGTATTTAAAAACCTAACCTCAGCAACGGTGATGTTCAGCTCGTTACAATTTTTTCGATTTTGCCTTCGTTTGCGAGTTATCCGGCTATACGTAAACGGCTCTTGGTTAAATCGACCGGTAGAAAAGCCGGGGTCGCCTGCCGAAGACCACCACTGCCCTGGATGTAATAGACCATCATGATTCCTGCCTTCCGGAACATAGCCTTAAACACTTCAAGCAGTCCGTATCTAGGCCGTGAGTCGAACCAGCCTTCGGGCCTCGGTCGAATGGTCCCTTGTCGAAGGACGATAAATTTTGGAACAGAACTAGCCTATGCTATCTGAATCCTAACCTCAGATGCGGTGAACGTAAAATTACGTAATTTAACTATGCCCGGTAGAGGACAAAACCGAGTGGTGCACGGCTTATTCGCCTGATTGGTGTAGGTCCGGAGAAATCCAAGACGTTCGATTCATGGCTTATTCATATTGTTATTGGTGCACAAAATTGGTGGTGCACGGCTGCGCTCCCGAAAAGCCGGTCGTTTCTCCTATAACTTATAAGTATATCTGTATAACTCGCGAACGGAAGCAAAATAGACAAATTGTCAGGAGCTAAAGCGCTAAACATTATCGTTGGGACTTGGGAGGATAGGTTACTTAGGTACCTATTTATATAGGCCTATATAAAAAATTTGAAATTGAAGGTAAAAACAAAGTTAAAATTGAACAAATTTTAAAAGCTATAAAATAGCCGTTTGGTAGTTAGGAATGTATATTCAAACTTTTGTTCAAGTCTGTTCAGTAGTTTGGAAAAAATTCTTTGATCACTGTGAATTTTGGCCTGTGTTGCAATATAAGTATACTTTGACTGGGCTTGCATGTTGTAGGAAATTGGCATGTCAAACTTACTTTTTGAAGGTTCACACCTCTGCTGCATGTAAAAGATCTTCTGACCTTTGGTGCATGCTGCACAGCTGCTGAGCTGCAGGCTGCCTGCTGCAGCCATTCTTGCCAAGTTGCCCAGAGCTCTCTAGCTTGGGGGCCGGCTGCCGGGGCTTGGCTTAAGTCTCTTCCTTTTATCTTCAACTAATGACAGAGATCAGGCTGGGCAGTGCATAAGCACTCGAAGCCTTCAAATCCTATTATTAAAAAATAAAAAAATATAAGTATATTCACTATATAACTCACAAATAAAGGTGAAATTTAAAAAATTTCCTCAAGCTAAACATCACCGTTAGGTTCTGATTCTGAAAAATACATGTTCCAAATTTCATTGAGCTGCGTTCATTAGTTTGGGAGATATTACTTGATAATTGAATTGATTGGTCGTGAGAGGTGAGACCAGCCACAAGTACGGCCATAAATTTACCCGATACGTCCTATTGCATTATCCAAAATTGCAGCGTACTGAATTTCAAGAAAGAGGTGTATGTTTTTATATGTGTCTGTGGCAGGGTGGAATTCTAGAAATGGAGGTTCACTTATAAAAAAGCTTTCCACCAAAGGTGAAATGCTTTCCTTAGATACAGTGCTCTGCCAGGTAACTGAGTAAACTGACTATAAATGAAAAGGAGGATCAAAAGTGGACAAACTGTTTCAATTGTATAGGTAGTACTGTAGTACCTCAGATTTGTTACAAAATTGTTTGAATGTCTCTTGTTTGATAGATATTATCTATTTTTCTTTTATTCAGTGGACTTTTTGAAATTTTTACAGGCTTTTTCTTTGTAATGATCAAGTTTCAGTTAAGTATTTAGTTAACCAGTACTGTAGTACATATACCATATTTGGGGGCAGGGCTTATGGGCACAACCAATCACAGCTTGAAAGCATCCCCAGCAACCAATCACAGCTAGAAAGCAGATAACATTACAATTCCATTAACCAATCACAGCTGGAAAGCTGGAAGGGGCTAAAATCACAATCCCATAAACCAATCACAGTTGAAAAGTGATAGGATATGTAAATGTATATAATAAAATTGACTGGAAGTGGAAAGTTCCTAGACTTTCCAAGCTTTCAGGTCCTGCTTTCCAATATGCTATGTGTACTGGTTAATTTAATATCCCTCTAGAATTCCACACTGGTCTGTGGGGGTGGCTGCCGGCTGGGGCCCTGGGGGGAGGCACTAGAAATTTACTATGGAGCCAAAGGGCAAAGGGGGTGCCCGAGAGCCCAGAAGCAGTATGGGCCCTATTTAGCCGGGGAATTAACCATAATCCTATGGGGCATGGCCATGCCCATGCACATCTATAGGCTTTAGTAAACTTATTTTGTGGCTGTGGAAATTCGATGCTATGGCTTTATTGAGCACTTGACAGTTGACTTCCTGTCTTTGTCTTCATAGACTGTTACTACTTACTATGCCCTCTAGCCACTCTAGCATTCTTACATAAGGAAAGGAAAGAAATATGAACTAACTAAGCAAGTAAGCATGACCTCACCATGTCCATGATGCATGATGTTATAGCTGGGCCAGCTGGGTGTGAGCTCTGAGCTGGCCTCACAATGTCCCAAGTCCAGCTCCAGCATAGTGGGCTGCTGTGGCCCCCCTGGGCAATGGGCATACCTAACGTACACGCATTCACCCAAGTTCCCAACCCTGCCAATTGCTAATTGTTTCTTCTGCCCAATTTTCCAGTTGGGAACAGGGTTGGCAATGATTAAATCAAAATGATTAAATCATGTGATTAAATCACTTGATTTTTTTATAAAAAAATCATGATTTTTTTTATTTTTTTGATTTTTTTGATTTTTTTGATTTTTTCATATATTTAAATATATTGAGTGGCAGTCTTTAATTTATATTGAGGTATTGTTATTCATGGTTTAGTATAAATGTACTATGAATGACAAATTGGTATATAAACTTGTTGCCTTTAGTGTGTATTAGGTTCCAATAAATTAAATGTTTTTGGTACAGAGGCATCAAGTGTGCAATACATTGTACATAGCTAGCAGCTTAGCTAATTCTTATAAGGCTATAAGTAGTCTTTAACAATTTGACTAGTTGTTATATACTGATTACAATATACAATTTAAATGTGTTCGCTAGCTTATACAGGGTGGGGCAGAACTGATTGAACAGTCTTGAGGCAAAATAAAAGAGTAATGGAGGTACATAAAGAAAAAAGTTTATTCTCCTAAAGATTAGCATAACATACCATTTAAAATACTTATGTTTTGAAAACAATATCAGGAAGATGGGGTTTGTTAGCTGCATCACACTGTTGGAGTCGTTCTCAGAAGTTTCCTATAGCACGTTCACACATATGGCGAGGTATGGCCATAACCTCTGCTGCAATAATCTGTTCCCTTAGCTGTGGTAGGGTGTGAGGGGGACTTCTGAACCCCTTTCTTTTAGATGTCCCAAAAGAAAGTGCAAATGCTCAAATCAGTTGACCTCGCAGGCCACTGTAAATCACCCCTCAGAGTCTGGGAACATGCGTTTCAAAACATTGAGTGACATTCGGGCTGTGTGAGCTGTAGCCCCATCCTGCTAACAGTGCAGTCAGTCACTCAGTCACTACTAGTAGGTGTGTATAGAGGGGAGAGTCTGGTAGATTTATAGGACATAAAACTAGTAGATCTATTGATAGTGCTGTGCACTGTGCTATCAGCTACCTATCTGTTATGTGACTCTTCAATGTCTAGAAGATCTGCATTCCTGAAGTGTTTTTGTATATTGAAGCCAGTTAAATGGTCAATATTTAGCTCATTACCTTGCTCCATACAAACTTTATAAAGCTAATGAATAGACTTACCAATAATTGTTTACCCAAAAATCCCTAAGTGGTAAACACTACCTTGGCCTGTTGGCCATTATTGAAGGCAATAAGTGCCTTTTTTAGCCATCCATTATGATCCATATACTGTTATTGTTAGTAGGCTAATTGCAACATAAAAAATAACACTTCAAAAAGACAAAAAAGTTGAAAAAATAAAAAAAATCAAATAAATCAAAAAAATCATGAAAAAATCAAAAAAATCATTGATTTTTGATTTTTTTGATTTTTTTAAAAAAATCAAAAAAATTGCCAACCCTGGTTGGGAATGCTTCATGCTTGGCAGCCTTGGCTTGGCTGCTTGTTGTTGCTGGTATAATCATTCTTACAGGACTCAAATCACTCTATTGAGAAGGTCAACAAAAAAATGTCTTGTTTGCCACTATGCATATAAGTTAGTCATAGAACGATAGAAGACCATAAATTTGAGGTGAATGCCTCTGACGACTGAATGGTGTTGGCAAAGGGGTGAATATGCCCAGACAAGCTCAAGGGGAACAATTTTAATTTGAACAAATTTATGTCAATTACCTACAAGACTAATTAATAGTACAGGTTGCTTTGCCTGGCTGCTTGATAAGGCTGATATAGGTAGGAATTTATCTTTTTCAGAAGAAATGTCAATTCAAAAGTCTCTTTACCACTACTAATCTCCTATTAGTACTATATCTAATATCTTGTTAGACTCAGAATTTTTTTTTTTTTTTTGAGAGGCATGGAGGCAAAAATCTTCTATAAACCATTGCATGTACACTTAATTGAATTATTAAGTCATACATTATACATAATTTATTTTTGTGCAGAAATGCCTCCCATGGTTGGCACCTGCCCTACTGCCTCTCTTCATCAAAAATGGTATCCTGTATGGAAAGCTAACAAGTATTTCTTCAGAGGAAAGTTGTGTCCAAATGAAGTCTCTCTCAAGAACCAATTAGGCTTACCTGCCAAATACAAGCAACCTTTTGTGGTGATGCTCCCTCCTCCAAACATCACTGGCTCACTTCACCTTGGCCATGCTCTTACTGTTTCACTTCAAGACACTCTAGTGAGATGGTAGGCTGAAAATTATCAGTTATTATTATGGAACATTTGACTATTACTTTGACTGTTTCCTCAAATTTATAAATATTTCTTCAAATGAGTTTATACTATAACATTGTCTGTAATATATTTTGTATAAGATTAATAATTATAATGATTTTATCATCTAGTTTTCTTGATGTGGTTAAAAATAGCCCTTTTGTTGTGCTCTCATTATATTTTTGCATTGGTTTCATGCAATGAGCATTCACATACTAAATTCCATTTAATTCTTTGTTGTTGGTTACAAAACTAAGGCATAATTTGATATGTACGAATATTTTAAATTGCATGCAATATTTCATATGTATAAATTACAAACTCACGTATTGTCAAGAAATAGAGGCTTGATGCTATAGAGTATAGATAATAATTTCCTTTTTATCTTAAATCGATATCATTATTAACGAGCATTTCATCTATTTACCTGGTTCATTTTCAACTTGTATTGATCTTGTGTCTTTGTCTGTTGTTAAGGAAGGCTTTACTGTGCTCTGTAGAAGAGAATGTGCTTAATATTTGCTCGATCATATGATTTCATTACCTACATAAATTATTAAGAACATTTAATCAGGCAGGGCATGCTTGGCAGAGATGTACTTTGGGTGCCTGGGTGTGACCATGCTGGTATTGCCACTCAAGTTGTTCTTGAGAAGCATCTAATGCAGACTACAGGCAAGAACAGACATCAGCTTGGACAGGAAGAGTTAGTTTTGGTTTGTTGAACATTTTTAATCAGTAGTATTTTAAAGTTTATTACTTCTATATACGTAGGTACTTAATCAAATGTCATTTCCCTTGGTTTTGATAGTAATCTGCAGAAATTAAGTAGAATTGATTAAATATTAATTAATTTCACACTATTTTGAAGCTCTTGCAGAGAAATAAAGCAATAAAACTACTTTTTAGAAAGCTTGTAATTATGGACTCCTTTTTTTCTTCCTTAAAAAATCTAAATATCTAAACTGTCTTCTTATTTTATTTAACGGTGATAAAATGTTCATCTGTAAATGATAGCAAAGCTTGTTATGTATTTTATGGCAGATAGTTGTGCAAATAGTGGCATGAAAGATTAATGTCAGGTATTTCCATTGTAATTAATATAAATCAAAAAATAAAGCTGCATATTGTTACTCTCAAGTTTGAATTGATTACATTATTAGCGCATTTTCTCATTTATGAAAAAAAACGCTATTGCGCATCTCATGTTTGTCTGTGTGTGACTCCGCTGATGTCCGTCCGTGACTTCATGTGACAGAGAAATGCGCTTTCTGTCACTTCAGTGAGGACTGATCTATTTTCATAACTTGGTGTTTTACTGCTAATCCTCAGATTCCTGAGAGCAGCATGGGAATGGAAGGACAGCAAAGAGAGTTGCATTTATGATCAGCTGCAGAAGTTGGGTGTTGCTCTGGACTGGGACTGTTCCGTTTTCACCATGAGCAAGGTGAATTCTTCATCAATTCATTGAAGTATCTTATGTTTTAGGTTGAAATGGATATCTCAGCTTCATTGCAAAAAGGAAAAATTCAACACTAATTTGTTTTACTCGTACATGGATTATTAAAATCTGTGCTGTGCTATTGAAGTTTATATATTATTATTGAGTAAAATCCTCAAAAACAGTTAAAACATCAAATAAAATTTAAAAATTCTAACAAAATGCTATTTCAAATAGCACCCATGCCATTTGTTTCCAAGCCATTTTCAAATAGCACCCATGATAGCATACTACTGATTTTGATGACGTACGGTATATTGATGTTGACTCTTTTTAACACATTTTCTCATTTATGGAAAAAAGGCGATATTGTGCTCGTCATGTCTGTCCGTGACGTCCGTCCTTGACTTTACGTCATGGACGGACGAGAAAATGCGCTCTCTGTCACTCACTGCAGTGAGTACTGAGTTATATTTTTTTGTGTGATAATCTAGTGGGACAATAATAGCTTCAATAATTTTGTTTATTGTTATCTGCTGATTCCTATGAATGATTTTATATTTCATGTTATGAATCGTTCTCGAGATTTTTAGTAGTACTGATGAACTAATATGGAAGTGTTTCACAGGACATGAGTCACTCAGTGGTGCAAGCCTTCATCATGCTTCATGACCGAGGCCTTATCTATCGCAAACCCCGGCCTGTGAATTACTGCCCTGCACTCCAGTCAGTTATTTCTGATATTGAGGCAAGTGAATTGACTTTTTGAACTTTGTTTCATGTCTTTACATGTAAAATTTGTATGTGAAGAAGCATTTATTCGTCCCCAATTTATTTATTATTTATAATTAACTTATTCTGCCTTTATAGTTTAAATACAGTTTCTCCAACATGATTATGATCAAATGTCGATTGTTTTGGTTATAAGATTATTACAAAACTTTTCTCATCCAATTTCATGGAACATCAATCTCCTCTGTAAAAGTAATTTTCACAATAAATTTAGTAGTTAATCATTTTCAGATTTCTCCTTATTTTGAATCATTTAACCTTCAATCAGGTTGACCACTGGAAAGTGACTGGGCCAACAGAAACTGTGATCCCAGGGCACGATGAGCCTGTCATGTTTGGCCAGATGTTCGACGTCGCCTACCCTCTGGTGTTCCCTGATGGCTCCACGCCCTCATCAGGAGAACACATCGTCGTCAGCACCACGCGCCCTGAGACTATCCCTGCTGACACCGCCATCATGGTCCATCCACAAGATCACAGGTATACGAGCCTGGGCTGTGGAGCAATATAATGTACTTTGGCGCAACAATTCTTATGAATTAAGATGCAGTTTAGCCCATTAATGCCGAGCGGTTCCATTTGGAACCAGCGGAAAAAAATGGTTTCATAATAAAATTGTATGGTGAAATCAATATACTAGTGGATGCGTAGGTTTGATACACATCTTGGACGTGTTCTGGCAACGTTTGGTTCTGCTGCGCCGACTACTCCCTGTTCAGTTAACATTAAAAGATTGTAAGTACCGGGTGTCAGACAGAAGGGCTTGACATCATTGCAGAGAAACGTAAGTAGTTCGTTCTAAAAATATATTATTTATAAGTTAGATGCAGAATTTTATCGACAAAGATAGTATTTTTAATGCTGTATATGGTATTACGTGATTTAATGTTTCAAAAGTCATTTAGATCATGAAATATTTTGCCTGGTTCCAAATGGAACCGCTCGGCAGTAGTGTAAGCATTCCGGTCATATCATTTTCCCAGTAGATTACTTTGTGATACAGTTATGCATTGTATTTCAAAAACTTGTTTGTATTTAGAAATTATTTATTTAGATCTTAGATCTAGTTTTTCCGTTATTTATTAGTGAACTATTATCTTTAGAGCTGATAGGAGTATATATCCCGAAAGTTGATATATTTGGAATTAGGTACGTACGTAGAACACTATACGATTTTTCATCCGAGTCACTTTTTTCTAGTTGTATTTTTGGCAGATCATCACATGAAATAATTAAGACTTCGAGAGAAGAATAACACGAAGATCAAATATTTGCTACTGAACCTTTTACAGAAGCAGCAACAAAGGAAACATACTGAGATTCAGATAACTCAGATGACGCAGCCACTAGCAATTATGCTCGCCTATCGAGAATAGTCATTGTAAGACATCAGAAGCACTGCAAATGCAGTGCTTCGTAAACAATGTTGACAACGCACCCACAAACATTCGTAAAATGGGCAACCTTCCTATTCATTTTGAATGGATGGAAGCATTCTATGCTAAAAATTGAATTGTATTCTGCCATGATTGGTTTATCATCAGTATTGTCCATTATGAATACGTATACTATTACGTATTATCGATTATGAACAACCTTGCTTGATTTACTATCGGAAAAAGTGTTGTTTGAAGAAACGTTAAGTTAATGCCGAGCGGTTCCATATGGAACCAAGCTATAATTTTTCACATACAATAAAATATGAACATACTAAAAATAAAAATATGAACATACTTTTTGCTTATTACCATCACAAATGATAATATTCTCACAAGGAACCGAAAAAAAATTCAGAAAATAATTCTCGTCATTAATGGGTTAGCCTAGATATGAATGCTTTAAAGATGATGTTGATAGTAAACCGATAACTGAATGATGCCTTTGGGAAATGAAATGTCACAAATCGTTCATCATTTCTGATGAAATAGATGTTTTGTACTATAGGAATGCAAAATGCTAATTTTCCTAATGTAAAATTAAAGTATTGATTTTTTGTTCTATACACATTATTTTAATTGAAAAAAATAGTTGTTAAAATTACGAGTGCTGTGATACTATATCATATCTGTAAACTAAATAACTATGTATGACCCTCTCAAATGAAGTCATTACAGAATTGTTGCATTTTTCTCTGTATTGTTAGCACTGTGTTGAACTTCCAAATCCAAGGTTATCAACAACGAATATTCTCAAGAACGTAGTATGTGAAATTCTACTTGTGATTAATACGCAACTCCATGATTTCCTGCACAGATATAAACATTTGATCGGCAAGAAAGCACAAATCCCTTGTCGCCCAGACCGCAGCATTCCCATCATTGCAGATGCAGCAGTCGACCCTGCCATAGGCACAGGTCCGTGAAAGTAGCAGACTTAGCAGTCGACCCTGCCATTGGCACAGGTCTGTGCAGGTAGCAGACTTTGCAGTCGACCCTGCCATGGGCACAGGTCTGTGCAGGTAGCAGACTTAGCAGTCGACCCTGCCATAGGCACAGGTCTGTGCAGGTAGCAGACTTAGCAGTCGACCCTGCCATAGGCACTGCTCTGTGTAGGTCAGTTGTTATGCCAAATATGTAAGGCCATATCTCAACAATGATGTTTACTGAATCAGTTGTGTTGCTGAGAGTAGTCTATGTCCTTATAGCTGTCACATGTGCTATGTTTAATTTTGATGCTCTAGCTATTGGTAGCTATTGCAGCTATTGGTTTTATATGGTTGATTTTGATCTTTTGATGTTTTGTTGCACCTATATTCTAGGATTATCACTGACCGTTCAAATTATGTTGCACCATGACCCCTTTAAGGATGTAGTCATTACATATACGTACGCAAATGTTGCACGCGTTGATGCTCATTATTTGATGATGTTTGCAGGTGCTGTTAAAGTGACTCCAGGTCTGAGCGCCGTAGACTACGCCGTTGGCCAGCGTCATCACCTCCCCGTGATGAGCAACATCCTTCGTGACGGCACTCTCGACTCGTCCGTCCCAAGTCTACAAGTAAGCTGGACTTATTTATGTCAGTGAAGGCGAACACTGACAACAAAATTCTCTATTGCAGGTAGAATTAGAGTAGAATTTGGATTCAACATAGTAGTTATTCTGTTGTGACGGTTTACACAGACAGTAAGTTGGTAATGATTTTGTGCTCTGCATCATTTCTCTTTTGATCAATTAAAAGGGGTTTGTTGCATCGAGCACTAAAATTTATGTTTTAAAGTTTATTTGTACTAAGTTTGTATGTGGATTTCTCATAATAATAGAAAAATATCTGTAAGTTATATTTTTGACCGTAATATATATTTGTATTGAAAAGTTAAGCTTTGCCAATGAGTTGAATTTTTCTGCTTGTTTACATTCATGTCAATATTTCTTGACTGATGACCAAAATGCCTCAAGTGAAAAAAAGTTCTTCTATACCTACAGTATTTCTTCACATAATCTTGTATTTGCTTAGCTGTCTGAAGTGTGTGATTTATAGAACACGTCGTCCGGAAAACGATCATATCCGGATACTTCATGTAACTTCTTACCTGGGCATCAATTAAATGAAAGATCTATTTGAAGGTTGGAAATGAAAGAAATAATGCAAAAAGATATTCGTATCTATTTTTACGAATAAAATCCCCAGCCTCTGATACCGCATGTCAAAATGTAGAAACATTTTTTAATTTTCTGTCAAGTTTTCTAACTGCTTGTCCCATTATGCTTGAGATGAATCGTGGTTAAATATTATAATTTTTGTGTCAGGGTTTACCGCGGCTGAGTGCTCGTGGCGCCATGCTGTCGTTGCTGGAGGAGCGTGGGCTGCTGAGAGCGGTGCGGCCGCACGCTCAAACCGTGCCTCGATGCTCCAGAACTGGCGACGTTGTCGAGACTCTAGTGCAAAAACAGTGGTAAGTTGAATGTAGCCCATGATCTGAAGCAATGCTGTCAAAACTGAGTACATGTAGCAGCCAATTAATGTACGTTAAGTGTAGCCCATGATCTGAAGCAATGCTGTCAAAACTTTTTTTAGCAGCGGCCAAATTCTTTTCTATGATTGGTGGGTTTATCTTGAGAAGCCATTAGTAATTGGTGACGGTTTTACAAACTCGTAACATTATTCAAGTCGTTTAGGTTCTAGATTTGGGTGTTGCGGAAGAGCTGTGTTCAGTGAAGTTCCCGATTGTTGAGCCAAACTCATGCTTTGAAAAGTTAATGACACTATAGGAAATTAGTTTAGCGCATTTTGCATCCAAAAACATATCAATTGTGAAAAAAATATGGAATGAGACTTTCAATGAAATCGTATTCTCGACCATCCGCAAAAAATATAACTCAGTACTCACTGCAGTGAGTGACAGAGAGTGCATTTTCTCGTCGACGAAAACGCGAAGTCACGGACAGACGGTCATGACGAGCACAATAGCGCCATTATTCCCATGAATAAGAAAATGCGCTAAAAATGAAATTTTGTTAACGGGATTATTAGGTTAGGATTAGGATCATGTTTTTTTAGTATTCTACAGTGTTACTTTACCACTCTGAACCAACTGTATAGAGCTCTGATGAAAAATGGGTAGCCCAATGTTCGATTGGAGGACTTTTATTGCTATTCATCTCCATAAGAATAATCATTTCCGAAGGGAATCAGTCAAACTATTTCAATACTAATAGGCAGTTCTTTCTGAACGAGTCGAGTATGTTCAGACGAAAATGGCTTATCGGCAAGAACGCAGATTATTCTGACAAATAAACAAGTTCTAAGTATGAAAAGGAGCTAGGATGCAGGTAATTTGAAAGTTATTCCGACAGCTGTAATGAAATGCAAGTTGTAGCTCTCAACATGCCCAGGTTTGTGCGGGTGCGGGAGATGGCAGAGCGCAGCTGCCGTGCAGTCGAGAACGGTGACCTGCTGATCGACCCACCATCACAGCGCAACGTCTGGACCACTTGGATGAAGCAAACTCAACATGAAGATTGGTGAGATGCACTCTGTTAAAAAATATCTTATGTATTCATCAATGAATTTGTGAACGTAATGTATCTCCATCTTCAGAATAGATTAGAAGTATATGTTGAGAGGTTTCTACTGTCTGAAGAAACATTATTCTCTAATGAAATTTGCGGTGAACTTATCGCGCACTCCAGCTTATTAATGTTTTTGGGACACTTATTCTGTTGGATGTTCACTACTGTTTAATCAATGAAAATCTGCCACATGACATAACCAGTTAGGTTTATAGTTTTTTGCCATTGGGAACAGGTTGTGTTAATGCTGGTTCTATGAAGAATGGTGCAATACCCTGTCGTTATACAAGAAGAACAAAAGCTTATAAATGGTAGTATTGTTCTTAGACTGCTTGCTTTGAGAACGAGAATGTCATATATAATTTTACCTTGATAAAGCCGCCAAGGCCTAAGACGTTTCTGAGACTTTTCATGTGTGCACAGGTGCATCTCGCGACAGATCTGGTGGGGGCATCGCGTGCCCATGTATCGCATCCGCCACGCTGCCGACACTGAGCCGCTCAAGGGAGCAGGCCCGCTCGCTGACGACGACGGTGAAGTCTGGCTGGCAGCCGAGTCTGAGACTCAAGCTCTCGATAAAGCCGCCGAGATGCTAGGTTTGCTTCTCAACTTTCTTATTTTAGTGAAAATTGGTATTTCTTTGGAAATGGGCTCCCAATTTTAGTCAGATGAATTTCTGACGTTGTTTACCGTTCTTTTTTTTGCCAGCTATTTACAAAATCTTGGTTGGTGGAATATTTTTTCTAAATAATGGAGCTAAGAGGTAGTAAAAGCTTTTATGGAAATACTTCGAATTTCAGTGACCAAGTCATTTTTAGTTGTGTATCATCAGCCATTAATACTTATGTTGAATTTATTTTGTATTGCGTTTCATCATATGAATGGTGTTATATCATTATACTATGGTTTCAATCGGTAGCATTCATCAGTCTGCTACATTAAGATCTACCTATTCTTAGTTGTCATCCATGGAAAGTAACCTAGTCTGACCAAGACCCAACCTGTGAGGTCTCTCGCTTTGCCTTGCGCCAGAGTTCTGCTGGTCAAATGTAAGCTAAAATAGCTTACAATTATTTTCACCATCTTAACGCCGGATTATTAATTGTATTTTTGCGTGCAGGAAGAAGTGCCGAGTTGCTACGGGCAGAACAGGACCCGGACGTGCTGGACACGTGGTTCTCTTCAGCGCTGTTTCCCTTCGCATCGTTAGGATGGCCATGGCAGAGGCAAGCTCTTTGATTCCATTCTTCCACTTCCTTCGGGGTCATTTCTCTTGATTTCATTCCTATAAATTGCCCGCTTTGCCGTGTTCACCTCTTATTTAGTATGGAATATGAAATTTCTGATTCTCATCCTATCAGTGAGGTATGTTTGTTCTTGTGATATGAAGAATCGTGCTATCATGAAGTTGTAATAAGATTGTTCGCGCAGAAGGTAGTCCTTGGAGGATTGATGATATCCTGCGCTGGTGTGGTAATCCTTTAAGGATTGAAGATATCCTGCGCTGCTGTGGGAATCCTTGAAGGATTGATGATATCGTGCGTTGCAGTGCTCGGCTGTCCCGCTACTACCCGACTTCGGTGCTGGTGACGGGGCAGGATATTCTCTTCTTCTGGGTGGCCAGGATGGTCATGCTAGGCACGGAGCTCACTGGGCAGCTGCCCTTCAAGGTGCTTACAATACAGTACTCATGAATGATTGTAATTGTTGGAATTTAATAACTACTTATTCCTCATTTGTTCGCCTGTTTAGAGTATATATTTTTCTGAAATGAACCAAGTGTAATTTACTATGTTTCCAAAAATTCTTTAGTCAAGCGTAATAAATGTTATCTACTTTTTGCCATGATATAATTGTGTTTATTAATTATTAACGAAATGTTCAATTTGACGCTTCCTTGTGAACTGAGCTTTCATTTTTGCCTTACTTACATTTAATAATTCAGCTCCAAAATGTCCTTAAAATTGTTGAGGACAATATTAACAGAGTCAATTCTTAATTCCAGTGAATTAGTGTTCCGAAACGATGGATTTATTATCGTAGGCTTCTGTGTTGTAGAGGGTGCAACTCCATGGCCTCATCTGTGATTCCAAAGGCGTCAAGATGAGCAAAAGTAGAGGCAACGTCATCGATCCAATGATTCTCATTGACAGCGAATATCGTGCAGCTGCCAGTAAATCTAGTCACAATACAGATCCTCTTTATAGTCACTCTTCTCAGAACAAGTCATCCACTGAGCTTAGCTCTCAAGATCCATCTAGTCCAGCCAAGTCGTCACCCAAGCAGGCTGAGGACAAAAAATCCGACCATCCAACGAATGTTGCGTCCAATACCACGGGCCTGGATTTACCTTTCGTTGGGCCTGACGTGCTGCGGATGGCCCTCTTGTCAACGAGCCTCTTCAGTAAGTGTTGGCTACAGCGAATTCCAAGTGTCATTTTGTGAATTTGTAGTTGCTTGATGATAACCAGGTGGTTTGCTGAATGGTAATCCATGTATTTAGATCATTTTATCAAGTAAAATATGTTTGAAATCTAGCTTTTCAGTACGACAATTACTGTTGATAAATTATTCTTCTTCCTTCCTTTTCCGTGTAATCGGTAACGTGTGTATAATTTTCAGTATATTTCTCGTGCCCAGATATTGTGAGTAAATCTGACCTCGTTATCGTGCCAGGTGACCATGTACAGTTCGGCCCCAAAGAGTTGGATTCATTCAGCAAATTACCCAACAAAATGTGGCAGTCAGTCAAGTTCCTGAGGATGTCGTGCGATCGCATCAAGTGTCGCGAGTTGTTGCCTCTTCACAAACTAACGTGAGTTTTAATACTGTCGCGTTATTTCTTAATCGTCATTTGTTCTTTGACGCGCCCGCTCGGCGTCGTTGGTCGAATAAATTTTGACTGTAGATAATCTTTCTTCATTGTTATCGCATTATCATTACATTTTTAATTTATAAGTTAGGTGCGGTATATGAATTTAAGAAACATAAGAGACGAATGAAATGATGTGAACATACCTGCGGACTTCGATTCTTAATTGAATGAATGAAAGTATGACTGTCCTAATGATTTTCGAAGTTCTAACGAAGTAACTTCTTGAAATTATAGAAGAAATCTCCAAATCATGTCCGTAATAAAAGAGAGAACAGTTGTAGAAACTCGTTTCTTACAATAAAATTTCGTTTCATCTGAAATTTTATTTGCATGTCTAATCATGACTATCCAGCCAGTGTAACATAATAACTGTGGAAATAATAATTGTTATTTATTTAATAATAAATGATATAATAACTGTAATAACAACTACTAATGGACTCGTGTTTCATTGATGGACTAATGGACTAATGTTTCATTGATGAATTGCGTTTGACACTCTCTGTATTTTCAGACAAGATTTGGGTGTGATGGAGCGTTGGCTGTTGCACCACACAGGCAGCCTCGTCAGCACCGCAGACGGCGCCTTACGGAGCTGCAACACTGCCCTTCTCATCACGGCCTTCACGACGTTATGGAAGTCCGTCCTCTGCGACGTGTTTCTTGTTAGTATTCACGTGGTGAATCTCAGGCTACATTCTCATTGAGATATGTTGTGCAGCTCTATCATATGCAGGCAAAACAGAAGCGGATGAATTAGAAATAATATCTAGTGAAGTGATGGAAGGTTGTAGCTAGGCTAGTTGCAAGTGATGAAGGATTATACGCTATGGTAGCCGCAAGAAATAGTGCCACTGCTAGCCGCGTTGGAGGTTTTTGTCATTATATGTATATATTGACTTCTGTGGATGGGAGAAAGACTTAGTTTGCACCTGCTCACTTTAGAATGCAATGTAACAGGCATATAAGGGACGAATGAGATTCCAGGTTCTGCTTCTTCTGTGTGAGGCATGCCTCAGACTGACAAACATCTGGTTCGAAATTGTTAGACTATTATTAAACTTACGTTCTATTTTTTGCCTATAAGTGCTGTTGATCAAGAAGCAAGTGCAAGCCCAATTTCTCTGATTTTTTATTTTCCTGGTTGCGACTCGCTTATTTTCCTGATTTACTTTTTATGACCGGAACATTTTATTGTGTTCCAGGAAGCTGTTAAACCTTGCATTGATGTTCATTCAAGCTTGGAAGTTCCTGATTGCGCTGTTGAAAGTTTGAAGGGTCCAGAGATGCAATATGGCGATGCAGTAACGTCCATGTCTGTTATGGCGCACTGCATGACCACCGCCTTGTTGTGCATCGCTCCTGTGATGCCGCACCTGGCAGAGGAGCTCTACCACTGCATGCCTACTGTAGCCGGCTCCCCCAAGAAGCCGAGCATTTTTGCTGAAGCCTATCCTCAACACGCCATGGTGGGTAAAATATTCCATGGATGAATAAAATATGTCAATATTCCATTCATCTATATTACATATAGGATGTATATTACATATACATCTATATTACATATTACAATATTCCATTTCTATAATGCTGATGGATGAAGGTCCATAATCTTGATGCTAGGTGTTCGATAAACACAAGTCGAAGTATATAAATCGTCCATAAATTAAGCGGATATGTGCTCTTCGTTATATTTTGTTTCTGATCTTAGAGTCATTATGCATCTTAGTGTCGTTTCAACTATGTTCGTTGGCGTGGTTAGATCACTTTTTCAATCTGGTCAGCCGGTAGGAGAACTACAGATCGGCTGATGATGTCGCTTTCACGTGCAGTGGCATCAATGGGAAGACATCTCAGTCGCACGACAAGTCGACGCGTGGCTAGAGGTTGTCGCGGCCGCGCGGAGTCTCAAAGCCGCTCATGGCGCCGCGCAGAAACGAGCTTCAGGTACATATTTACTCATGTTAATTATTGTTAACTCGAGATGTTAATCTATCTCGCATGCTTGCTCAATGAAGTATATTTTGCCCATGAAATGGAAAGTGATGTATAAACTGTATGAAACGATGCGAATAAACGCAGTATTTTTCGTATTTCACTTCGTATTTCTGTTGGATATAACTCTTACGAATGAGTCATCCGAAATGTTATATGCTTTACGTCGTTTTGTGCCTAAGGCGTCCTGTACAGCGAGTGCCCTCACCTCACTGCCGCCCAGAGAGGCACTGAGCTCTCTTCTGTCGCTTGCCACCTTGCACAGTTGAGCGCAATTGAGATAATCTACGGTAAAAATCCAGAAGGTAAGGATTCGGCGAAATTATCTTGGTGCTAACCTAGCGATTTATAATCTATCATTGTTTGGTTAAAATTCTGGATTTTCGCTAAGGACGACACTTTAGACGCTATGCAATGTCAAAACCTTTGATTTAATTCTAACCTCAGGAAACGAAATTATATAGGTACTTCAGATGCGGCCTGTGAGTGAACAAAATGATATTCAAGCCAATGATTTTATTCTGTATATTTGATAATAATGTGCAGGTTGCGTGCAAGCTTCACTCGTCACGCCTGCTGGAGAAAATTCTGTCTTGCATCTTAACATTCCAGTGAGTGACGTCGATGCGAGCATTTCTTATTGAGTTGTATTCACTATTGACTTGTTTAGTATTTCATTCTCATTGCGAACTCTACTTCATTTCACTCTCATTGCGAACTCTACTTCTCGTGTTGCAATCTAAGACCTTGTTGCAGGTGTGTTTTACAAGTCATTTCATGAATTTGTTCTAATTTGTTCAATGTGTTATTTTAATGCCAAGTGTATTCGCCGATATGAGTGAATTTAACTTTCAAAGCTCCTGAAAGTATAGATTAACTGTGTTTATCGTGCTTCAAACAAGCAAGCTACATGCGTTTGTTCATAATTGAGCTGCGAATGCCTGCGGGGACGATGAGTTAAGCCCTGCGTCGCATCCACTTATGCCAGGATGAAGCAGTGTGAAATTTTTTGACCTCATTTCCCATGACATCGCCCTGAGTTTGTTTCTCTGCAATCGTGCATTGTTCGCCATTGTGAAGAAGTTTGCGGCAGTAAAAGGAAGTGACTATTTGCTTGCTTGCAGGGGGTGGACGTAGAGCAACAGGCAGCGCGGCTGGAGAAGCGACTTGCTAAACTCGCCAGGCAGCTTTCTGTTGCTAAGAAGTACGAATGGAGTAACACGGAGAAGGTCAGCAAACCATAGCTTTATAACAAGAACTTTTTGCTTTAGAGTGACGTTTTGAATTCTCTACTCTTCAAACGACAATTTTTATATCACGTATTGATTCAAAACTAGGAAATTTAGAATTATATCAAGAGATTCAAATTCAGGCTAGAAGTATCTACTCTAGTCTGAATATGACTCCATTTTTTTTGTTTGGTATGAATCCAATTTTTATTTCATTGCTCTGTGCAAAAATTTCGCCCCGAAGAATCGAGACGTGATTGTAAGGGGTACGTCTCGGTAAAAAAAATGTTTTTTTTTTGTTTTTATTTACGGAGGGATCACTTTGAAACTGGGTACGCGTTTGTAAAACAGAAATCTAAGACTTTTTTGTTCATGTAAATTTTTAAAAAAATGAATGAAAACGACCAAAATAGGGGGCACTGTAGAAATCTATCTCCTCCTAGGATTTTCAAACTACAACATCGAGATACATATCATTCAATGCGTAAAAACCATATCTAGCGATTCGTCGTAGTTTTCTTCGAAATTTTTATTTTTGTGGGTTGGGGGGGGGGGTGTTTCGTCCGTTTTTCAATTCCCCGCCCCCTCCCCTTTTTGCAAAATATAATCTGAACTATAAGGAAATTGCAAAAAAGCTTAACCATTCTTTAGATCTTTTTTACGAATCGAGTGGTATTTCTCTCGATGCTGTAGTTTAAAAATCATAGAAGGAGATAGATTTTTAAGATTAAAATTTTAACTTTTCAGGAGAGCCAAAAACTGAAATTTGTGATCATTGAAGGTTTTACTTGTGCTTCGACGGCTGTCGTAGACGAACAAACGAACGCACAAACATGGCTTTGGGCTCTTAGATGCGCAATTTCTGGACCTTTAAAATGACAGTAAAAGCCGGAAAAGCCAAAATTTTCGATTTTTGGCCGAACGTTTCCCTTAATCTTTGTATACGCTTGCAGATCAATAAGCTGTCGAACGAACTGCAGCACACCCAGCGGCTGAAGGAGAGTCTTCAGGAGCTCATACTTCGGCAGCGCCGACCAACTTCTTGACAATCCTGCCGGCATAAACATGATGATGTTGGATGGTTTATGTTCCCAGTCAGGTGTATATCGAAGACAGAATTTTTTTTTCATTCTAAAGACTTCCCCCTCTAATTTATTCCGAAAATTATCCCGTTCAGAGATGACAACAAATACAAATTTTTCGTTGAATTGTGAAGGTTCAGTTCATTTTATGTGAGTTTATTCAACTGCTGGCTAAGATATATGAGAAGAATTTGCTGTTCATCTTTTTTTTAATAGCTATTTTCTGAATCGCTTGCCAAATCAAATTATTTACGTATTCCTATATTTTTTTGCAACTCATTGAAGGTGCAGGGTTATTCTAAGTGGTGGACTCAATTTAATAAATTCGTATTTATTTAAGTATACATTCAAAAATGAATAATTTATTATATGTACCGATGAAAAAATAAAGATTTAAATTTTTTTATACTTATTTATAAATGTTAAACGGCACGGCAAACATCTAAACGGTAGCCAAACTCGTCCCACACACGAAAAAGCTTATCCTCTGTTACTGAGTGCACCGTAGCAGTGATACGGTTCTTCAGATCAACCAGAGTTGCTGGTAGAGGCGGGACGTAAACAGAGTTGCTGGTAGAGGCGTTACATAAACAAAGTTGCTGGTAGAGGCGGGACGTAAACAGAGTTATTGGTAGAGGCGTTACGTAAACAAAGTTGCTGGTAGAGGCGGGTCGTAAACAGAGTTATTGGTAGAGGCGTTACGTAAACAGAGTTGCTGGTAGAGGCGGGACGTAAACAGAGTTATTGGTAGAGGCGTTACGTAAACAGAGTTACTGGTAGAGACGGGACGTAAACAGCTTCCTTGACGTAACCCCATAAGAAATAGTCACATGGGGTGAGATCAGGTGATCTCGGTGGCCAGAAGTGTAGAGCCAGATTTTATTTCCTATGCAAGTTTGCATCCTTACCAACGTTTGGGAAGTTACTAATTCATATAGTTTCGGAAATCTATTCCGCTTTTGAATAGGTTAAAAAAATTGAGTTTTCCTCGTTTATTTGTTGTAAAAGTTATTCATTTTGAATTTATACTTAAATAAATGCGAATTTATTAAATTGAGTTCATTATTTAGATTTTAGAATAACACTGTGTAATGGGCTTGATATTGCTTTCCAGAAATTCCGTCGGTTCATACTTATTTCTCCCAAACTTCAATCCTGAATTGCGTTTGCCAACGGTGTAATCTCAGCACTAGAAATATTCATCGACTCCCATGCTGAGGCCTTACAAATGGCTTCACTGAAACGGTTATTATCTAATTTCTAATTTAATTCCTTGTGATCTCATCGCGCAATGTTAATAAGATCTGTACATTTTTCTCCATAGTCCATGTTACGACTGATGTAATAAATTTTTTTTTTTTTTTTTTAAAAAAGGCCTCCCACACTCACCATTCCAACAAAAAAAAAGGAATTAAAACCGTTAAGCCATCCGGTCTCTTACCATCCCCTCTGTCCACTCCAACGGGTTCAAGGCATGAAGGGACGCCAGCGCTCTGAAGAGCCCTCCTGATCACATCGTTCAGAGCCGAGTGTCTTGGATGTCGCCCAGCGCTGTACTTACAAGAAAGGCCATGCAGCCCTCGTTCTATAAATAAATCGTTCTAAATAAATCGGTACCAAATATAATTTTCCTCTCAGATTCTCTGGTACTCTACGACACCTCTTGATGTTGCTCCGGAAGCTTTGGACCATTCGCAAATAATTTTAGTTTTTGTTATTTGCTCCCATTTCTTCTTTGGTTTCATTCTAACAGAAGTAGAAGTCTCTTTTTTTCTTCTCGCATCATCTTCATGCACCCGATTTGCTTCCACTATTTGCTCATTTCATAGCACTTCACTCGCTCCACCTTCCCAATGTCTGATGTCCATTCCAGCGGATTGAAATCGTCTTGTAATTTTTACTCGTTTTAAAACTTTTAAAACGTTTTCATTGTTGAGTCATGCCCAGTAGAAGGTTCAGTTATCTTTCTGTACATGAGAATGTACATTTTATTTATTTAGGATCGAAATAGTAGGTAACAAAGTATGTACATGAACGTTTTACAATTTGTGCTATAAGTAGTTCCGCATTAGTGAAATAGGGATGAAGTTGGCATTTACTGGCTACTAAGTAATTGGGTGCGTTGATTTTAGTCCATTATGAGTAATCATTTACATTGCTCAAATGAGGTCACGTGAGAGATTGTTGGTGATGCCAAGACATTGATAAGAATCAAATTCTGTTGAAACGATAACATGGTACACTTATTTTCAACTCGAGACCTCGTGCTATGAGCATTCCTTGTAACATTCACGATTACTAACTAATCTGACAAACACGAGTCACGTGAGCAAAAGTAAGTGATACATATCAACATTGTGGTGCGCCCAACAACATATGAAAATTTCAGTGTTATATTTTAATTACTTACAAATTGATATTCAGGTTAGGCTCCTCATCTATTTAATTTTTTACTTTGCTTTCATAATTGAGATATGTTAGTAAATTATTGGCTCCGAATAATAAATGGCTAATTTTTGAGCCACTGGTAGTGGCGAACCCGTTTTAAAACTTCCCTTCAACCCACCAATGCTTCTAAAAAATTAAAACCACTGAGGACCAAAATAATGTCAGGAAAATGCGTATTGAAGGGCTTTTGCATCGAGAAAGAAAAGCGCACGGACGCAACAGTTCTACCTGAATAAGATCCTAATGACCATTCATGAGCGGATATGTGCAAGTTTGTGCGAGATTTACGAGGAAAATCCTAATTTACAACAATAATTGGATAAAACGGCATAAACTTTATCATAAAGCCGCTACGATTAAATATTGAAAACAGAATCTATTGCTGCGTGAACAAACATTTATAGCGATATAGGGCATGCAGATTGTAAGGAGCTGAATTATTGTTAAACGAAAATTTGAAACACTTATAACCTCTGAAAAAATCATATATGGTCATAATAATCACTTCCTTTCGTTGTGTGACGTACATTAGGCTGACCAAACGTGAGATATAGGATGTATAAGTTCTACGAGCAAAGGACACGTGCATCACAATATTTTGCTTACATATTAATCCGTAGATTCTAATATAGGGCCATTAAAAGAAATTATATAACAAGTTGGTGTCGGCAACTCGTAAAAAGCTACCGATTTTGACTTGGTCTGCCCAGAGTTCGCGTGAGGACGCGAGAAGTTGCTCTTAAAAAGCATGACGGTTAACTCCTTTCCCGACGAGTAACATTAGCGTTGAGCATGCACCGTTCTGTGCACCGGTTTTCTTAATTAAGCTACACTTCAGTGAACTGTGGGTTCGAGACCCACGCGTCAACCTTTTTCTCTTTATTCAATTCTGAGTTTGGTAGGCATGGATCCATGAGATACCTCGTCATGGGAGTCATTTACTTACTCCTGGGACGTTGAAAACAATTGTCTAACCAGCAGAGATCAAGTTTAAGTTGAAAACACGAAATTTCGAATTCTTGCTTGTTTGTATACTAGGACGAAATTCCAAGTTTTATTTATTTCTTGCATTGGACTTAATTCCTGATGTGCTATACCAATAATAAGTGCAAGCTTCTTCACATGGACTTTGTGCTGGCGCATTTGCAAATGTTTAAATTTGTGACATTTTCGTTCCCATTTCATTTGCTCTGACGAGGAATGGCTTCTATTCCAATAAGAAGTTCCGATCGATCTTTCTCATCTTGCATCTCCTTTCAAATTCGCAACATTGGAGTGGCATGAATAGCTCATAAGTCTATTTCTAACTTGATAGGAAATTTATCCAATAAGGGGCGGCTTCCAATCCGGGCCGAACTGATCATCAAAATTGCAGCGCCACACACGCGATGACATCGCGAAGTTGAACAGCTTTGCAGTCTGCACGGCGCCCTGGGAACGGTATAAACAGGTTAATAAGACTTTTAAGCATCTGAAATATTGATTGCAAGTCGTTCAGTTGTGTGAGATCAATCTTTTTAAAAGATTTTAAATATCGGGAGATTAGCATGTGAAATTTAAATACGTAAAACACATCGAATTTATTCGTTCATGCTTAATAATTTGGAGAATAAAGGAGCGTTGGAGCGTCTAAAGTAAGTTAGTAAATATATTAATTAGGTTTATTCGTACGCTATTAGTCTCATTACTACTGTAATTATAAGTAATTAAAATCAATATTAAAGCATGATTACGTTATTGATTCAGCAAATTTTATTTTTATTTCTTCTCTCCCTAATTAGCACCACTCTATTGTGACAATCATTAACTTGATGAGAGATAAAGCGAATCGGAATCTCAAGGATCATTTGTCCCGAGCTACGCTGAAATAAGGTGGCAGTAAATTTTTAGCAAATACGTGAAACATTATTTTTATTAAAAGGCTCCACTAAACAAGGAAGCAGCTAGCCCTGTGCAGCACAACTCACGAGAAGTCTGTTCTTGAAGTGCTGTTCGTGTGAGAAGAAGAGCAGTCCTTCCTGAGGCAGCAGCAGGTCCACTGCACCGTCCAGTTGCCTCTTCACCACACCGTCGCAGTTCACCCAAACCTTCACTTGCGTTCCGCTTATTGACACGAGCAGCCTGGTCCATGTCAGGCCAACCTGTGAACGCTTACGATTGATTTTGTGCAGGGAAAACGTACGGAAATCGCCGAAAGTATAATTCAGTGTCTCTATACACTAAATTAATTCTGTGAATCCTCATGAAAATCTCCATATGATTTTTATAATGCATAATCTTACGGTCATAGCAGCAAACTTCCAATGACCATCACAATTCAATACGCTTCATGTTCATTGGCATGTATGGGCTTCAATAATTTTATTGGTACGTTACCTTATCGGACAGAGGAAAGGTAGTACGGTGCGTGCGGCGATCTCCTTTAAGCCGATAAATAAGCTGTAGCCTTCGACGTCGAAGGTCAGAATTTATCTGGAAAAATCGAAAACAGAAAAATTTATTAAATAGAATAATATTTCCCAACATAATGAAGCAACGGAGTACAATGATTAAAGGGAATTTAATACTGTTTTAAAATGACGTATTGGACCCGTAAATTAATTCTGCCATGCGAGCGGGATGAAAAACTAACACGAGAGATGATAGGTTAATTAGCCGAATTCCGGAGTACTTTAATAGAGATTATTCAACTTGAAGATCATATTTTAAATATTTGTTCACTCATGTTATGTCATTTTATTGCTGGAAATTATGCTCCGAGCATGCGATCTTGAGGTACAAAAACTACGAAAGAAATTGTAAATTTAAGCAACAAGCCGCCAATGACGCGCCGTCAACCATGCTACTTTTTTTAATTTTCTTATTTAATTTTGAAGTTATTGTCTCCAAGTTAAACACTTTTCTTAACCGACATTTTGCACTAAATGTTAATAATTAAATGCACAATCTAAGGGTTGAAAAACACGAAAGATAAAAAGAGCAGGCTGTGGCAAAACCGCTCCGGCGCTGCCATGACACCAAACTATATGCAATCACAAAGTCCACATCAGACATTTTTCGAAACTAAACTGTAAAAATGAATACTCTTGACTTATGCGTCTCACACCAGGTTCCTCTGACCAGTATTTTATTCAAATTCGGGGAATATCGAATCTAAATACTAATACAACTCGTTAATTTTCCTCATCAGATTTTCAAATCAGGATCGAGTCTTCTCAATTATTAGCAGATGTTCATAAAACTAATTTAAGAATAATTACCAAAGGCAGGAGCAGCTTCAACCTTTGTTTAGAATTTATAAAATAATCAATCACTGATGCTGCTGTTTTCAGTTGAAAAGAAAAAATGTTCCAGACTGACGAGCACATCCGCCTTGCATGCCGTTATTAATTATTAAAAAAAAAAACATTACAATGTCCTTAGAAAGAATTCCCAAGTGGTAAAGAACAATATTGTGAATACTCATATTGGCAATGAATAGCCAATTGCCGAATCCTACATGGCTAGGATTTATTATTTGTTCATTATTAAATTTAGCTTCATTTCAATTTTGTATTGTAAATATCATTTAAACTCCAAGAATTTACGTCGGCTCCCATAATCAATTGTTCAGAACATCAGATATTACACAGATTCTTAAATGAAATTTTCCGCTGCAGTGATTATTAAGAATTTTTTTCATGTATGCTGTTCATAATTAGCAAACTTTAAAGTTATAAAAATTTTTCATCAGTCATTCATTCTGAGTAAAAAAGTGAGATCGGCTACTGTGCAGCAGATCGTCGTCAGAAAAATGATAAGTACTCTGCGCTTGAGCGTTCGTAACGCTTTTGTGTTTCTCGTAACAATGTAACATTTATTTTTTTACACTTTAACGTCTCTTTGACATAAATAGCAGTTGCACGTCGCGCACGAAACTTTGCAATAAAAAAGGGTATTGAATGTTAACATAAATTTCATTAGCTTTGTCATTAGTTTAAAAGGCTAAGCAATCGGCCATTAAAAAAATCAATGAACAATTGATTTACTAAATTGATTGTACTAAAATTTAGAAGCAATCACCTGCAGCCATGGTTTGGAGGAGCCAGGCATCGTGGCCGTGATGAGGGGGGCGACTGTGCCGTTCACTTGGCGGTACACGAAGAAGCACGACACGTCCGACAGTAGGTGAGAGAATATCTGCAACATCAAAATAAACAGTAAAGTATTACGTTTTGTCGACCTCCTCATCAAATCCTGATTTAGTCAAAATTGTTCCAGGACTTATAAAAAAATATTATTTACATCGCGGAAGTGGGTAATGTTGAGCGATTGAAACAATTAAAATATTTAACGCTCTCTACTAATTTTGGCAAAATGATTTAGTGATAATGCTCTCAAAAATCGTAAGCAGAATTGGTTTCGGATATGTGACTAATTTCAAGCAGAAACGAAGTCATGTAATATATCAAATTATCAAATGAAGGGAATAACTGGGAATAGGGTAGCAGATATTTCAGCATGATTTAAACCATGAAAATATGAGAAACAGCAAGTTATCAGTTTGCCAAGAATTTTTACAACGCAATTCATCGTACATGTTCGATTTATCTTGAGTTTTCCGTTGATTCTCGCTCGTGCTTCTAGAAATATCAACGTTTAACATCGTTGACTTCATGCGTGATGTTGTGGCACTGACCTCTTGCGGGATGTCGTGGCACTGACCTCATGCGTGATGTCGTGGCACTGACCTCATGCGTGATGTCGCGGCACTGACCTCATGCGTGATGTCGTGGCACTGACCTCATGCGTGATGTCGTGGCACTGACCTCATGCGTGATGTCGTGGCACTGACCTCATGCGTGATGTCGTGGCACTGACCTCCTGCGTGATGTCGTGGCACTGACCTCATGTGTGATGTCGTGGCACTGACCTCATGCGTGATGTCGTGGCACTGACCTCATGTGTGATGTCGTGGCACTGACCTCATGTGTGATGTCGTGGCACTGACCTCATGCGTGATGTCGTGGCCAACACGGCCGTTAGTGTAGGCCTCCTTGATGACGAAGGCTGACGCGTTCCTGTGAGGTGTTGCTGACAGGGACACGCCTTCCTGGGACTCGTTCAGCGACACAAGCTGCAGCAGGTCCCACTCTGTCCGACAAAACCGAAGACAGACAAATCTTAAAAATTTCTTTCTTTCCTTTGTGATTAGAGGTCTGCTTTTCTAGATTATTATCTTAACGTTGATTAACAATTAATGTTTATTTGTGTTTCTTTGCATGTTGAAAAAATACGAGCTATTTTAAACAAAACCGAGTCAGAACGTTCGAGTCAAATCTTCATGGTTTCGTAATTTTTCATATCAATCAAACACTAGAAATCTCTTATTTACTCATATGACTCCTACTTACCGCCGTGTTGGGCGGTGGGATGGAGGTGCTTGTGGGACTCCTGCTTACCGCCGTGTTGGGCGGTGGGATGGAGGTGCTTGTGGGACTCCTATACTTACCGCCGTGTTGGGCGGTGGGATGGAGGTGCTTCTGGGACTCCTACTTACCGCCGTGTTGGACGGCGGGATGGAGGTGCTTGTGGGACTCCTACTTACCGCCGTGTTGGGCGGTGGGATGGAAGTGCTTGTGGGACTCCTACTTACCGCCGTGTTGGGCGGTGGGATGGAAGTGCTTGTGGGACTCCTACTTACCACCTTGTTGGGTGGTGGGATGGAGGTGTTTGTGGGACTCTTCACCAATGAAAGGAATCCAAGCTGCGCTTTGCTGCGCCAATAAAAGCAGCAGCAAACCTTTGACGACTTCAGCCATAGAGGCCCTCCATTCGAAGGCCATTGACGGATAGTGTAAATAAAATAAGGCTCTTAAAATGAAAATTTGAAATTTATTACTTCATCATTATTAGAATCTTTCTCTGTGTAAAAAAATATGGTTGGTGTTTAAGGACATTGATTATCAATTTGAATTAATATTTATATACGACAGCCTTACACGCTAATCTCGTGTAAATATGCTGACATTTCATTTGGATCATTTTTCTGCATTTACTTCGGTAGTAGAATCTGTCAATGATCCGTATCATTGAACCTTGTTGAACCTACAATTTCACCTGCCCTGTAAAAATCGGGAATTTCAACTCTTGTACCAGCTTTTTTCCTTTAGAGTTTGGTTACAACTATACTCGTAGTGAAATATGTTGCATACCAAAAATAAACTCTCGTTGCATTTTCAAACTTGTAAGATTTTCATTCGCTGTTCTATTTTTGATAAAGGATTAGATAGTTCATTTTTGAATAATGCATTAACTAAGAGAGGGTTAGGAAGGTTAGTTCCTCGAACTCTTTTTATCCTTTAGGTAAATTATTAATCATCGCTCAACATTTATGCTTTTCCTATTCAAATCACGAGTTTGGCACCGTTTATCTTATATTTTAAACAAGCTTTGGAATTTATTCTTCAAGACTTCGGGACGACGTCGGTCTTTGCTTTTAAATAACTTTACCCCATTATGCACTTAGATCCGAATAACATACTAATCATAAAGTTCATGATGATTGAACATTTGAGTATCGTATACTCATGCGGATAAAATTTGATATATCATTGATATACTTGTTAGAATATTAGTATTAGATGGCAGAACTTACTTGTTTATACTCGTTGGTTGGTTGAAAATCAGAGGTCTCCGAAAGTCATTTTATTTATTTTCCAAAAGACATTTTATTTTTTAACTTATTACTTATTTTAACGACGTTTTAAATGTATCAACATTCATTGTCAAGTTACAGGACGCATTGCGTAGTCGTAGTAAACTTTTGATCGACATCAATATAGTAACGTGTAAATAGGATACTACTCAAAAATTTAACTTCGATTAAAATAAGTATAAGGTCACATAAATAGGATCATGTTCGAAAATTGGAGTCCACAAATTATCAATATAACAATCTCAAGGTTCTGGCAAACCCGGTAGTTTGCAGGCTGATGGCTGGAGTCCTATCTCTAATGGTGAGGGCCTCAGCTATCGCGAGTCGGTTGGCGTCGGGGCATCTCATATGCTCCTCCAGCACCGTACGAGTGATGGTCTCGTTGTGGGTGGTTCTTTGGTCCACCAAAGAAGAACCACCTTCTCTCGGGTGGTTCTTTGGTCCACCAGACTGAAGGTGGCATGGGAGACGTCGGCTTAATGTCATAGTTGTGAGCCCGATGCAGGGTGAAATCTACAACCTTCTTTGGAATAGGAAAATTCATAGACTTCATTGGTCTCATTGAGAACTCCTGCATTTTTTGTACTGGTTATTTTTCATATTATTAATGAATTCATATTATTGAATGAATATTACTAATGAATTCATGTTTTTGACGACGTTTCCCATGCCATCTTCAGTTTTGTGGACCAAGGAGCCACCTGATGGAGGCTCACAACGAGACCATCACTCGTACGGTGCTGGAGGAGTGCATAAGCGTCGTCATGAGATGCCCCGACGCCAACCGACTCGCGATAGCTGAGGCCCTCATCAGGATGGGACTCCAGCCATCAATCTTCAAACTAACGGGTTTGTTAGAACTTTGAGGCTGTTTTATTGATAATTTTTGGACTCCAATATATGTACGAACATTATCCTATTTACGTGATCTTATACATATCTTCATCGAAGTTAAATTATTGTAATATACAAGATTTTATACTGATGTCGATTAAAAGTCCACTATATGCAATGCGTCCTGTAACTTGAATTTGAATGTTGATACATTTGAAACGGCATTAAAATATTAAAAATGGCTTTCAGAAGCTTCTGATTTTCAATCTATCAACGCCTGTGAAAATTTTAGTTCGAATTATTAAGAAAGCCAACTTTGTAAATAAACTCACTCTCTGGTCTTCAATAAAACCTTTCGTAATGAATAAATTTTGCCATCATATGCTAATATTCTTAGAATATATCTACTCCATGCATAGAATAATTGAACAATAAAGCAAACCTTTTATAAAAAATGTGGAAGGAAATAAATTTATTCACTAGCCCTTGCATTATCATCGGCGTACAAGTGCGCGCATTATCATGTATGATTTCTATGAATTGAAATGAATTTTCCGACGTATCTTTAAGTCAAAGTCCAACTATACTTACGTGATCTTATACTTATTACGTGATCTTATAATACTTATCCGTGATCTTATACATCTCATATTGTAAATCACGTTTTTAAGTATGATTTTATAATTGAAGTAAGAAATTGAAGTCGTTGACCATATCATGTGAGTCATGCCTACCCACGGCGGGACGGCCACAGCACGCATAGGCGGGGCGCGGTCTCGTCGGATCAATGTATTTAAAGAAGCCCTCGCCTCACTTCCCCCGTACGGCTCAAATGATACATTCCGCATAAACGTGTACACGGTATGAAAACATTTCCGGAGTAACTCTGGTAACAAATTATTTTTGTACATCAAATGGGAAATTATTATTTTAATACCAAGAGGAAACACATAGATAAATTTTTAGAAAGATTGAAGATTTTTCATCATAATAGGAGTCTGTTACGACCGTTTTCTGTTCAAGGAGAAGTAATGAAACGTAATGGCCTTCTTTCTATGTGCCAGCTTTTGCAGAGGGTTTATTCGCATTAAAAATTAAGAAGTTTAAGAGCATGCTTAAAGTTTCATGAATTATTTGCAACTTTGAGAAATGGACAATTTAGCAATACGAAAATTGCCTAATCTGAAACTGGATCAAAATTCTTAGATGCTGCATGTTTTGAGAATAGCTTTATCATACGACAGCCTGGCACAGACAAGACCCAATTTTCTTCAATGACTTATTAGATTTGAAAAAATTTCAGTGCGAACACATCGTGTCTTTGGAAGATCTAATTCGAAATGTCGTTAGAAAATTTCAGTCTTTGTGTTCAGTATCGATGGTGCTGGAACGCAGTATTAATGAAGGTTGAGGCTGGCGCTCAGCGTCTCAAATGTGTGGTTCTCTGGCAAACGAAAAAGCCAATTTTTTGGTCGGGGGCGCCTTATGTTGCAGACGCTTTTGTTGTAGGAGCCTTATAAGGCTCCTACACCTCATTCAGACACCTAAGTATCTGAATGCATGAATTGACTGGTATAGAATTCAATGAAGTGTAAACATTCATCCATGTGAATGTCTACACCTCATTCCTCATTCAGACACCCACGTCTCGGACGGGTCAATGTGCAGTATAATATTTTTCAGACCTAGAATTTTCGGAAATCATAATTAGAGTGAAAATTGAAATCAATTGAGATGAGTGGCGTACATAAGACACATTTAGTCACTGTGTCTCAACGTTAAGGTTGATTTGGGAAATTTGTGTGCAATTAATAGAAAATTGATAGAAAATAAATAGGAAACGCATTTAAAGTAATTTGCTTACCAGAAAATATCATCGATTCGTTGACTGGTTGATATTGAGGTCTTTACTTACGGCTGTCTGTATCGAAAATTGTCTTTAATGAAGAAAATTTTATGCATGACCTAGCTTCTGGTACAATATAGAAAATAATTTTAGCTAAAAATTGCAAAAACTCTACGGATTTTAGAATAAATATTAAAGTATCTCTCTTTGATCGCTGTGAACAGTCAAAGCAAAAAATCAGCAAATAAAAAATATTAATATAAGCAATTTAGATGTTCTTGGATGCGCAATAAAATTGCAACCAAAATTCCTTGTTCGACTATATTAGCCAACTATCCAAAAATAGAAAATCCATTTAGTTACAAGACAAAAAGTCTTCAAAAGTGTCTGTTTCTTTTACGTTTAACTTTAATTCGTCTGGCATTACCAACGATGAGCTTTCTTTTATACTTTGACCTCCTAGATGCTGAGTTGACGGCTCACTTGTTATAAGAACAAAAGCTCTCGTGAGGTGGAGGCACTATGAGTATTAAAGATAATAATAGTAGAGAACAAGTTGGCAGTCGGCAAGTCCATGTTAATGCATAGAAGAAGTACGTCCACTCCATGGTCAACGGGGAAACTCGTGCATCTATTCTCATTTGTAATATTGGAAAGATATGTTTTCAGTTAAGAAAAGCATGGAAGCAAAGTGAATTCCTCTAATCCTTCCTGACAGTCATTACCGTCAAAATAACCCGTCCTGCGTATCGTATATCGAACGTCATATTTACGCAAACGAAAGCAAGTTTGACTTCCATGCAACTACGAAGCAATTGAATGAGGTAACAAATTTTCAAATTTCCTCGTATTTTGTCCCTAAAAAGAGAACTTTTTTTAAAACAGTTCTGTTCAAAATTTATGGATACTTTTACCTCATGAAATAATAAAAAGTTTTAATATTTCAAACTAGACTAAGTTAAACTAAAAAAATTAAAATTTTCGACTGGTGAGCGACCAGAACACGTTCTTCAAATATTGGAATACATTCCGTGAAAAAATTTATCTATGTTTGCACTTGTGTCTAATACAAAGCTTCACCTTCCTTGATAAAATGATATATTTCCTTAGTTTTGTCGTCTATTATGATACCAAATATTCATGAGTCATCTGTTTATCACACTTTCCATCAAAATTCATAGTTTCATCTTTTGATTTTCAGAATAAAAAGATCACAGAATGCAAAAGTTGTCCTAAATCTGATGCTTCATAAGACACTTAATTTCAGGGGATGAATTAGCGAATTAAATGATTTGATAATTACATTATATTCATGATTTAATTTTATACTCATTTTATCATCGACGTTAAAATGAAGTGCTCAACAGCGCTATTGTGAAAACGCGTTGTTGTTTGCAAATTAATGGATCTTAAATCCAGTGTATTGCAATCAATACTGAAAAACAGAGGAAGGTTTCACAACTAAATCTCACCGAATATCTTTTGTCTAGTCTCCATTTTACAACCCTAGTTAAACACATATCTTCAAAATTCTAGTTTTGTCTTTGAATATTGTTTTACATTATTTAAATTATTCGGGGCTTACGTATCTATAATGAAAAAATTGAACAAAATTAATCGACTGAATCGAGCAATATTGTTGATGCATAAGTCAGATATTACTTATTATTCGGCTTATCCAACCCAGTTTTTCCAGGCATGCAGCAAGGTTTCATACCTGCAAATAACACAATTTTTAACATTAAACGGAAGTTTTTGCGTCAACCGTATGATATATATTATTATTTGATTATACTTCGAACTGCACACAAATTTCGTTAAGAGATTTCTGATATACAAAACAAATTTATGAAGAGGACCATACCGTTGGATCGCTATAAGAAACGCGTATTGCGTCGCAAGCGCGTCGGTGGCCAGGCT